TTTTAAGAAACTGGGATGCATTTTTTTTTTTTTACCATTTTACAGACCAAACAACGATAATGAAAATGACTTGCAGGCCTAATGCACATAATTGATTAATCTGGTTTACAGAAATGTGGCACCTCTTAATATTTGAGATAAATAAGTTGTGTTACTGTATTCAAGTAATTTGGCTGTATATTCTCTCTTTGCCACTGTTCACCCCTCCTTTCCATTGGGTGAGCCATTTGCATCATGTGCCACTGTGACTGACACAGCTGTTTATAGTTATAGTAATAATTAAGTTAAAGTAATGTGAAGTAATGATTACTCAACACACCCTTTCTATTTATATTGCACTTTACCCAACCCAGATATAGGCTGCTGTGCCTATATAGTAATATCAAGTGCACATGGATATGTCCTCATTGTCCTTGCACAATTGTCCTAGCACTTCTGCATTGTTAAAATGGAATCCTTGCTGTTCTTGAATGTTTTCGAAATTTGAACTTCAAAAGTGGGCTCGGGCTAATGCACTCTCAAGATATAAATGGGCTGTCCCTTATAATATCTGTAATGCACCATTCACCCAGTATCAACAAAAAAACTAACATCAAATATAGTAATATCCTGGAATGAGGCCTCAAATAGAGATCAGTTACACGTCTGTCCTCAGAACTCCCAAATCAGAACAGTCTGCGACTGCCAGCATCTGCTTTAGACCCAAATGACAATTTACAAATTATTTGACTTTTTCTATGCAAAGGAAAAGTTTCCCTGCTGGGCAAAGTAACACACACTGTGGTCCTATTTGATACTAATAAGAACCACATTGGGTCTGCAATGACTACAATGTAGTGGTTTTGTTCTGAGATGTGCTCACATACTTCCTTTGCCCGTTGGTGGTCATAGACAACTGGTAAATGTTCTGTGATATTCTTGCATCTTGCTGGTCTTCCCTCATGTTCTCTGTATGTGTGCATGCAAACTTATAATGGATGATAAGATGGACTCTATATACATAAGAACGTTCAACTTTACACAAATCTATCACATTCTCACACACACTATGCAAACACATGATCATCTACAAGTAAAAGCGCATAAACCTTTAAATTGGCACACTGAAGTAAACATCTTTTACTATAATTTGTCAGATTTCCAGTATACTGGAAATATATAATAAAGTATGCCTGGTGACAAATACTGCTTACACAAGAACACTGCAAGTGCAAATATCTACCACTCTACATCAAATCGAAAGCCTCAACAGCAACGAGCGGTGATTATTAGGACCACTTCATCAGCTGTCATTGCGTGGCATGAATGCACACTGTGAAATGGCCCGTCTAGACCTGACGTCATGTCACTGTCCAGACATATACACACTCACATTCACACACATTCATACACGCACTTAATAGATTCCTCCCTGTGTCCCCGGAGGTGCCCTTCCCACCTAATCCCTATACCTGGCACCAGCTGGGTAGCAAATGCTTGCCAGACTAAAGATCACCAGATGCAAAATTCTCAATGTCAACCAACTCAAAGCACTTTCTTACACTTCATTCAGTACAAAGAGCTTTCATTTAACAATGTTGATGCCCAGTTTTGCTGCAGAGATGCTGATGCTTTGATTTCTAATGAAATGTTCAGATTACTTCTAAGTAAGTAACACAAGGTGTCATACAGGGGATATTGCTTCATTGTGCCAGTCTCATATTCTGATAAATAGTTTGAGAGAGGACAAGATGATTTTTTCACCTTCTTCAACGACGTCTACATATCTGCTACCTTCCATATTTCTTAACCAAGGTTGGATTATTTTATGTGCATTGGTGATGTGTGACACTGAAGCGTGATGCATGATTTTCTCTTTTTTTGAGCATTTGAGCTGACAGCTCTGAAAGGACAGGCTCTGTAGTGAGAGACCACACAGTTTGTCTTTTAGCGTGCACATGTGTCTGATTTTTACAAATAGTCTGCTGTTCAGCTGTGGAAACCGATTTTTATTTTATGTATTTATTTATTTCAGTTAAAGCTTCAGTTGGACTTAATGGGATGGTTGGATTTAATTATTTTGTTCTTTTCTGTCTCTGCTGTCATAGCCGTACTATGCCCGTTGGATTTTTTGTCATAGACATGCACACATGTAGAAACCAAGTTAAGAAACCTCCTATTTGTATACATGACCAAGAAATCAAGTTTTTCCAGGAAAAATCTATCTGTATTAACCAGGTTTTTCTTAATCATTTACTCCTATTAAGGGAACAGGGGTTCTCACTTGCATTATGTTTTTTAAAAATCAGGGCACTGCAGTAACTAGGTTATTTACAAGGATGCAAAAGCACAATCCGGAGGCAATGGTAAAGAGAAGGAATGGGAGGCAGAGGGAAGAAGAAGAAAACGAAAAATGGAAAACAGAGGTGAAGATGAGAGAGAGAACAAATGAAAACAAGAGAGTATGGACCTCTATGACAAATGCACGAGTAAGACAAACATATAGTCAGGTCTAAATCATTACAGGCAACATACCATCAGGGTTGCCTGTACATAAGCTGCTTTGTGCCTCTGGTTTAAAGGACAGCTTGCGCTTATAACAATCTGGCCCAAAGCACTCAAGGCAGGGAGAGTTAAAAATGCATTACCAGGCTTAGCAACAAATCAAGTTACAGTTGTGTGCAACTATACTTACATGAGTTCATGGGCTGCAACATTTTAATGATAGAGAGGAGAACTGGCTCCTAAACTAAGTGCCATGTTAGGGTCAGTCTCTGCTCTTTGTTGTATGCAGGATTTCTCTGTGTGCCAAAGGTGTTGACCTTAACACTTGCTTGTTTCCCATATGCCTTTTTCCTGTTCAACTTTAAAACCACTTGTGTCTCCCAAATGAAATGGGTTGAGCAATAATCAGGCTTACCCTGCCAAGCAAACAGCAAAGATAGAATAACTGCATATAAAAAGCGTGAAGGCTTGGGCTTTTATGAGGGAGGATTTCATGTGTTTTAACTGCTCTACTTACTCTACCAAAAGGAGCAAATACTCAAATAGTTAATGTATCAGTGCTTGTGCCTTTAATGTTCTTTTCAATCTCCGGTACTTAAAGGTCACCTGCATATGCAAGACTTGCTTTACATTTCTTACTGTAAAGGGAGAATACCTCATTGACATTCAATGGGCTTTCCAGTGAGAGAGGAAGGAAATACATGGGAAGTGCTTCACTTCTTCACGCTTCTCAACAAGCGCTTGTCTTAGTCAAGGCTGAGTGAATAGAACAAGCCACAAAGGTATTGTGTAAAACAAGTTTTTTCGGGTCAGGAATACTGATGTCTGTGCGTCACATCTTGTGTCATTTTTCTGCATCATTGATGCAGTGCAAAATAACATAAAACTAAACCAGGCATGTTTGCTTGTTTTAAAGCCATAGGGAAAGGGGAGGAAAGAAGAATACTGACAGAAATGGGAAGCATTGAGTAAGTTACAAACAGTATGTGCGGAAAAGGGCTGCTTTAATCAGAAAATGATCTGAAAAACCCATTACACAAACTGACCAGTGGAACATTATGCAAGAGCACCAACTCTCCCGACTCCACATTTACGTCATATACATTTGGAACTGGAAGAGTTTGCCTTCACTCAGCCAAACAAATGGGTTTCATGTCAACATTTCACCTCGGTCAGAAACCTAAATCCGATACTGCGCTCCAAATAAAAAGTAGTCAGTGGCATGGCACTATAAATCGCTCAAATTCTTATGCTCTGTGTATTTACAAGAAAAGGGAGTAAAGGTCCATGCAGGGAGGCAAAGAGAAAAAGAGAACAGATTTCATCATCCTTTGCTGTGGTGGCAACTTATACTAACGTATCTAAATCAAACGTGTCATCCGTGGGACCAGTGTTTTTCCAACCACAATACTGTCCCACCAGACTGGCTTTGAACCAATCCAGAAAAACCTCTTCTGAAAACCCCCTAATGCGCTCTGTCCAAATTTGGTAGCACCCTCGTTGGTGGTCCCCCTGGTGCCTCTGTGTGTGTGTCTGTGCGTGTATGTTTTTCATCTTTTCAGAAGGCTAAGTTGGGTGAGCCTTCAAAGCATGCACTGCACCTGTCATGTGCCTATAGAGTGCAGAACACAACATAAATTATTAAACTCTCAACAAAAACAGGAATTTTCTTGTGTCACTACATTGCTTGTAGGAGAAGGGATAGTCCTGATTTATCTTTCTCTTCAGGCTCCGTTTAAGGACTGGAAGCCTCCCATTGCATTTGTTTCGTTTACGCATCTCCACCTCAAGAACCCTCATCTGTGCTTATTAAACGGCTTCCTCGAGTGCTGCCCATTTCCAGGAATAACAGGGAGCAGATTGTACAGCCACTTCAAAAAACACTAACAGGCCTGACGTCTGTATACAAATGACAGTCTGTGACTGAAAGGTGTGATGCTGCGGGAGGTAAAAACAAACATGGTTTTACATCCTCGGCGTACACAGTAATCTGTGTAAACAGTTTTGGTTAAGAGATGATACCAGATCAGGTTATGTAAAAGGAAAACATAAAAAAAATATTTAAACAGGGCAAATCTGCACATTTGTATAGTAAGGTAAATTATTAAAGTTTTTTTTTTTAAATTTGATTGCATAATGTAAAATTAAATCATTAAAAAAAATTCAATATCTTAATATCTTAAGCTGCAAAGAAACGGCAAATCACTATTCTCTATTTGCAATTGCTTTTAAATATATATTCCACTTTATATTTAAAGTCTACATTTTCACAAGGAATTTAAAATACAAAACCACATTCAGATAGCTACTTAGTTAGTTAATGGGGGCTGCAGCCAGTGAACTAAGCTAAAGTCTGGGTTGGCCCACAAGAAAATGTCATTGCTGGGAAACTATCCATTTCACCTTACACAGTTTCACTGACAGATTCACACTGTGGGTTTCATGTGACATAAGGGGAAATTGTCAAATTAAATTCTGAACGCTTTACAGGCTGAGGCTTGGCATGCGTTTCTTACCTCCCAGTTCTTTTACATTCAAGATTGCATTAGGAAATGGCACTGCTTTGATGCTGAAACCTGAGAGGAGAGAAATGAAAATTATTGTAATAAAGTAGTCAAGAAATTGTGTGTGTTTGTGTATGTGTGTATGTATGAATATGTGTGGATGGCACATGGTAAGAGTCACCTTTTAGGAATGTTGGCTGGATTGCCTTTCAATAGTGAGAAAATGGCTAAAATCAATTAGTTTCCCCGGGATATTTGGTGTACCTTTTCCAAACCACCAGCTGGTGAACACAAAGAGGCCTGACAACATATTTGTATTGTAGAAACGAAAGAAAAGAACACTTTGTGTGGTCCGGGTTAGCAAAACAGAAAAACAAGAAAAGCTAAACAGCAAAGTGTTTTGTTCTATGTTGTAGTTAGTAGGGGATAGAACTAATGTGCCACCAAGTATTATGCGGTTTGTTTCTGCGGTTGCATATAGTGGGAAAAAGTAAGATTTAATGTTGCTCAAATTATGCTAAATTGTCTTGGGGGGAATTCTTTTCCTGGAAACATTCACAAACAGGAGGCGAGATGGGAGAGACAACTGATTATGATTTTCTAAACATCTGAATTAACTGCTAAATGTGGTTTTTAAGTACACTGCAACAGTGTAAAAAATCATGAAGTAAGAAGTGGGGGGGGGAGACACGGGAGACTTCCCCAGTAATTGTTCTAATTGTTCCCCACGATCTTCCCTCTGTAGATGTTGGCAGAGACGCAGATAGCGCTGACAGCTGAATCATAATAATTTTCCGCTAAGGTAGGTAATCGGCATATTTTATCTATTAATGCCCACTCAGTGGCAGACACAGACAGGCGTTCACTCCCTTGAACCACCCCCCTGCCACAGAGACATACACACTAACAGTTACAGGCAGCACATTTGGGAATTACTTTATATTTAGCTTCTACTGGTGAAAGTGCACAATGACTAAATCTAAAATGGGACTGCAACAGCTCAAAGCGGACTGCTGACAAAGCCAGGGGAGGAAAGAGGAATGTCAGTGTCCTTGAGGGATTGCATTGCGTATATGGAAAGCAGAGCGTTGACGACCAAGAGAATGATGTACTAACCCTAAAGCCTCTTGAAACTGAGTATTGGCTGGTGAGATACAGCAGAGTGTTTCTTGCATGAGCGCTGGGACTTTGGAAGACGCACTGAAGACATGCTTCCCCCTATTGGAGAGCTGCGATACCTGGATAGTGTTATCTATCTGTGATGTTCTTGAAACATGAAAGTGCACGTGCGAGGGAGGAGAGATGGTCTAAGAGAGATGTGTCTGTGGAGGTTTCTATTTAAGCACACGCATTCTCACTAAAAGAGGTCATATGTAATGTGCACATACCTGTCGTGGGCACGATGCCGTCGCTGCCCTCATTACAGAGGCGTGAGAGCAGGCTGGTCTTTCCAGCACCCGTCAGACCAATGCACACCACATCATACTCTGGTCTTGGCGGCGGGGGTCCTTTACAGCACAGTGCCCGGAAACACTGAAACAAAACAAGCAAATCAATGAATGTGTTGCAAAACAGACCAAGAGCACGTGGGCCGGACGGGGTAGTGATTAACGTTCTGCATTTGGAATCACAACATGTTCTGCCCTTAGAGTGGATATTCTTGAAATAAACCCTTGTGTCTCTGACTCTGCAAGAGGACTCTCGTGGGCATTACAGCTGTCTTCATATGATGAAGCAGGAAACCCTAAAAAGGGTCTGGTCTACGAAACACAGGAGCCAAAATGTTTAACCATGATCCACCAGGAAGCATTGAAAAAAAGGAATGAGCAATGACAAAGAATAAAACCACAAGATGTTTGGCTTTTATGACTTAATGTAATCATGTCATGTCATGTCAAACAGAGTAAAATTCTACAATTGGTGTGAAAGGGGACTAGGAGTGTTAGATGAATGCATCCAAGCACTGATGCAATATGTTTTTGTCTGCAGTGTCTATGTGTGTGGACTCTGTCTGTCAGGGCCCTTATGGCGGCCAGAGGCAGACCTGTCACTCCATGAATCACGGCCTGGGACTGAGGGCCTGCTGTGAGACATTAAGGGCCAAATGCAGTGTGAACCGTGAATGAGATCTTTAAACTTGTGTGGAGAGATCAGTATCCAAAACTAAAAAGAGATCTCTTTTATTAGCAAGACAGGAACCAGTCTGGACAAGGCAGGACACACAGAAACACACACACACACACACACACACACACACACTCTCTGTCTCCCATCTACTATATCACATTTCAGGTGGAAGAACATCAACACAAGATTGCTTACTGCTCTTGTCAGGGGACGACCCTGTTCAACACACTGCTACCCTGTTCAATCAAAGACTCTGACAGGAAGGAAAACACACGCACAAGTGTACATGAACGGCTCCACATCTGTGCGCACATTCTCCAGGTGTGCTTGGGCATGCCATTACAAATGTGTACCTCGGTGGGGAAGAGCAGATATAAACAAATGAGAGGATAAACAAACATTCGAGTATCATTGGCAAATGTTCAGGATTTAGGTTTTAGTACAAGACAACAAGAATATAAAATATAAAAAAATATATATATTTTAGCTGCACCTCAATTTTTTATCTACTATTTAATGAAGTAAATGAACGAGAGTATTCCTTAGAGTAGTAGCAATTGCTGCAACATAGAAACGCTGCGTACTTCATATAATGGGGGAAGAAGAGAGCAGAAAAGAGTGTTGCGGCCTCAATTCTTCCGCATACCCCCAGACATCAGTGACCACCAGGGTCAGTTTTCAGAGCCGTGCCAAAACAGAGCTGCTGTTTGATGGAGATGTGGGGAATCTGCTTCAACAGAACCAGACGTCGGCTGAGCAACCCGACCCCCCCGACTCCTTGGTGAACCCGCCAGTCTGCTCAAACAGGAAACATTCTCCTCTTCCAGAAAAACGGTAAGATAAGAAACACACGCGCGTCAGATGGGGGAACACATGTTAAAAACTTGGTTTGATGAGGTCATTCTTCTCCCCATGCCACCTCTACCTTCAACCTACGCTCCCCCGAAGCAACGTGTGGAAGGTGAAATCTGCCCTTCGACCGTTAATCCCCCAAACTGACAGATGATCTTTCAGGGGAGGCATGGGGCAAGAGCTGGATGGAAGAACTGGAGTAGCTATGGAGTTGTTATGAGTTGGATGATTGTTATTTATTCACCCCCTCATAAAAGGATTACTGGGCCGACTGTACCCGATAGAGAAGGGAACAGAGAAGGTTGCTGCTTCATTGGCTATGTGGGAGCAGACACGCAGGACAACTCCCACCGCCTCTCTCTCCACGTACAGTGAAGATTTCACAACAGTTACCAAATGAGCATCCAGGGCCTGACCCTGGGGTCCCTACACAGTGGCCCCTGTGAGAGAGGGAGAGATGCAAGCTCCCACCTCTGGCCCTCTTTGACAGCACAAGATTGACGAGGAGAGGTTGCTCAAAAGGCTCACAGGAGAAAAATAAATATGTCCAAAGGCCTTTGCTTACCTCGAGACAGGCCCCTCCCCTGTCAACCACACACTCAGTGATCTGAGAGTCAGTGTGCTGTGTCACGGAGACTGAGGGATCAAATGAGACTGCCGAGGATGATGACTACCCCCGAAAATCTCCAAGGTATCCTGACCAACAGCTGAGATTAAAACTGGAAATTGAATACATAGTCAGAAGTTCTCTAAACGTTATTGGAGTGATTTACAGTGGTGGAAGTGACTGAGTTACAAAAATATTCTCACATTTACTGTGACAAAGAAAAACATATGGAGACTTATCAGCTTTACTTCCGTGTTACTATTGGCTACTATTAAACTACTATGAGGCCACTGACGCCTTAAAAAGAGGACAGTCTTTAAGAAAGACAAATAAAACCTTGGAACTCCTTGCCAAAACACTGCCCATAAAAAGTCTGCCATTCCTAGACTTTATTGATTGGCTGCCTCTTATAGGATTGGACATGTTTTAATTGTGCTTCCCTGAAAGACCTGCCGAGACATTACCTCATTGTTGTTGTGAAAGCTGATTAGCTAGGCTTTATGTAAATGAGAAACACTGCTGAATATAAATATCACTTAAGACATAGCCAGGCTGCATTTTTTTCATTTCTTTTCAGTCTCCTTAAAAGATGCCTGACAGAAAGAAGGAAAAAAAACAGCCCCCTAGCTTCCAATTTGAAAAAGATGTCAAGACATTTAATGGGTGACATAACGGGGCCTCCTGGCAGCAGACCAGAGCTCGAGCACACAAGAACAGAAGCTGAAGACACTACTGCTGGTCTATCAGTGGTTGTGTAAGAATAGATCAGGGCAGCTCCATAACTCTACAGATGCTGAACTTAATAGCATTTAGCCTCGTATAAAAGATGCGGAAGCCCATATTCAGAGTGAAAAAGGACATCAGCGGTATGAAAGGGAAATAATGACTTCAAATGTTTCCCTTTAAACAATGTCCCAAGTCATACCACGCGCAATAGGATGCAGACACCACCATGGAGCGTGCTGACCTGAAGTGACCGTTTGTTGATACGCATACTGTAAAAACATATTTGGAGAGTACATATATGGAAAAGGAAAACCGTTTCGCCAGTGAGTCATAATCCATCGTGTTGTAAATTCACCTGATGTAGTTGGAGAGAACAGGAGCCAGGCTCTTTTTAGAAAACGACTTTGTATTTTTAGAGGTAATAAATGTAGGTTAGAGGGAAGCCACTACCACCGCAGCAGACTAGTTCGTGTTTCACTCTCGTACTCTCTGGCTACGGTCGAGACACCACAGGACAGGAAAATGGGGGGTGGCATTACAGCATGTTCTAAATTGAGGTACACCAAACAAGCTGCTTAGGAACATACATAAATGCTAATAGTAACAGAACAAGTACCGTTTGTGCACAGTGCTAAAACCAGCAGGTGTGCAGCATCAACTAATGCGGTTGCTGGAATAGTCAGGGCCACCCAATAATTAATCCAATGTCTTGCACAGAAAAGATTAGCAGATTTTTGGGGATCATTAGGATCATTACAGAGTATTGTGTCTGTATCCAGATGTTTGGCTACCATTATCCAAACATAACAAATTCCACCCTTATTATACACAACTGCTTTGAAAGATGAATTTAGATAACAACATTGCACAGAAATACAGTAAGAAAGTGCTAACATTACACTCCTCTGACACTACAGCAGGTTAGTGTTTTCAAAAACACCAAATATCTCCGGCTGAATCACAGAGAAATGTATTAACAATGATGTATGAATTCTCCTTTTGAACTAATGGTGCAGCCATAAAAAACAATACAAAATAGTGCTGCAGCAAACAGACAGAGTGAGTGTGTGTGTGTGTGTGTGTGTGTGTGTGTGTGTGTGGCAGGTATTTTGAAGGAAACATTTTATTGAAATATTGAAAACATGGTTTATCAGTGATCAGTGATTGGCCTCTAATCAGCATCATTACTGCCAATGGAAAACTTGGAAAACAGGAAGGCAGACACATAAATTGGGGCGGTGTTCAGTGGGAGGAAATCATGCATCAGATCCTAATCTTGTTAAAAACAATCCACAGTTAACCAGAAACTCCTATAAGACTAGTGTTCTGGTTTATGGGGAGTAAGGGCCTCCCTTAGTCACCTGAACTGGGAATACAACTTGACCACATGTTTTACTTTAGCAAAAACAAAAGAAAAAGGGGGGGGNNGTAATCTGGTAACTGGCTACCAACAGCCGTCCTACAAGTATACTTGTGTAGCATAAGGGTCAGACACACAAACCGTGTCCACTTACAGTAAAAACCAACGCAGTGGGTTGTGTCCTCGCTCGTGGCACACTTCCTCTCGAAAGGTTGGTTACACATCAACTGATATGCTTGAACTGTTCGCACTCGACCCAGCGATGGTGCTAATGAGGGTAATAATGCCTGTGGAAAATTACAGTATCACATTTACCTCCAAGAAGTTCCAATAACTAGGAACACCAAAAAGCAAACCATGACTTCCTCCTTGGCTGCCAATTTACACAAGCTGGGTATCCTGATTCCCCAACAACAGTGGAGCTAGCAAAGGAAAGAAGAAAGGAGGAGGAGAAAGGGGAAAGGACATCCGAGACACTTGCCTCTGAGAGTCATACCCACAGTAGACAGACAGACACAGGACACGGATGGGCAAGCAGGCCGTTTTTATTTTTCCAGACCAAGTGTCGGGACAACACTTGTGTGCAGGGCTCACTCCTGACCTTTGGAAATGACAGTCCTTTATATGGGCGTCCCGACGGAGGAGC